TTTCACCTTAATATCCTATTTTAATTATTAATATAATTATAAATAATATAAACTCACAACATATCATCACACATCATACAATATAAATAATAAATCACAAATAATTGGTAAAATAAAGAATTCTAGATTTTGGGGTGTTATAGGTTTAACTTCCATGATATCCACGATGACATGTTTAGGCATGATGACGTCATGTAATAAATGCCTATAAAGGTGTGTCTTGGATGGCTCAACCTTGGGGTGGCCTATATGGAGTATATGCTTGTTGCAGGATCAAATATGTTTCACGCCTAGATCCGACCCAACCCCTACCTGCCAATTTTTTGGATGTATACAATCCCTCGGGTAAACGGGGGCGAAGTGCTTAAAGGTAAAACTATCAGGCTAACCCAACTACGTTAACTGACCAGATTTCTAATTAGGTTCCCACCAGTTCTGGGATGTACGCAGTCCCCCAAACATGAGGCCCTATGGGGAAATGCTTAAGGATAAAGTCGTCGGGATAATTCAACAATGTTAACTGACCATATTTCTAGTTAGGTTCCAACTAATTCTAAGATATACACAATCCCCAAGGAGGAGGCCGAACGAGGGAAAATGCTTAAGGATAAAGCTATCGAGCTAATGTAACTATGTTAATAGACCAGGTTTCTATTTTGGATCTTGTAAATTTCGAGATGTACACATACCCCTAGGCATGAGGCCCTATGGAGAGAAATGCTTAAGGATAAAGTTATCGGGCTAATCTAACTAAGTTAACAGACCATGTTTCTAATCAGGTTCTCGCCAAATACAAGATGCACTCATTCTCCTAAGCATGAGGCCCAATGAGGTTAAGTGCTTAAGGATAAAGTTACAAAGCTAATACAACTACGTTAATTGACCAGATGTTTAATTAGGTTCTCGCTAATTCTAGGTTGTACACAGTCCCCAAGCACGAGGCCTGACATGGCAAAGTGCTTAAGTATAAAGATGTCGGGCTAATTCGATTACGTCTACCGACTAGGTTCTAATTAAGTTTCCTACAATTCTGAGATGTACCCTTGACATAGAGAAGTACTTAAGGGTGGTGTCGTTGGACCAACCTGATCACGTTACTTTCGTGCGACTATGGATATGGTCATCATGATTATTTAATTTGTCATGTTATCGCTCAAAGTTCTCTATTGTTAATATTTTCAGTATAAAGTTATAAAAACATAAAGTTACATATTGTCCTTAGGAAATCATATATTCATTGCTTAATGATATATCTTTTTCTAATCCTCCTTTCATTCTCAGCGAGAACAACTTAGGTATGAAGTCAACTCCTGTCACAAGAACCTCTAGTTTAGATTTCCATCTATATGGTCTTGTGGGCGACATGTCTGCTCTAATAGGATACATGTCTATCATTGAATCCTTGGACTTATATTCCTCAATAAATCTCTCAATGTCTCATGATTACTTTAATTGGGACTCATAACTCCCCAATTATCACCATTTACCCATCTTACTATGTTTTTAGCGTAATATCTCTGAGACCTTTGGCGTCCCCAAAATCTTGCTTAAATTGTGGTTTTCCCTTTTTTCTCAACCCCCTAACTTTTTAGAAAACATCTTTGGCCCTCTCTCTCTCTCTCTCGCTCTCTCTCTCTCTCTCTCTCTGGTTAAAATCTTCAAAACCCTTTGTATTTAAGGCTACCTTTTTCCATCTCCATCTAGGTATAGATATACTTTCCTTTTCCTTTTATTCTTCACTTAATCAATTTTAGTGGGGTTGATTTGCGAGGGAAACAAGAGTGAGAATTTTATTTTTCCAAAAAATATAACTAAGAGGTGTGCATTATAAGATGATTAACAATTGGGGAATATGCAATGACTTTGTCAGCAGAGGAAGGTGCAAAAGGTTTAGGGGGAGATGTAACAAATCAACCATCAGGAACATGTTTGGTTCCCTGAGTCAAGGCAATAAAGAAAACCATTTGCAATTTATATGTGCTATCTGCAAGACATAACAAAACATGTCATAAAAAAACTCAAGGAATCCACCCTCACCAAAGATTTCCTTCCACTCTGCACGATTGGCTGCAATCACAATAACATGGGTGTCAATTAATTTATTCTTTTGCAAGGAAGACAACACTTTGCTGAGGATGAACCCCTCATTTTAGCAATGTACTTGATATAGGGATTTCAAATCCTCCATCTTCTTAACCTCTTTAGAAGATATAGAGAGATTCCAACTTGATGTAGTAGAAAGAAGGTGCAGAGCAGAAGCGAGGCCAGGACCAATATTTCACAAACTACTTTTACAATAATATGAAGATCAATGTTTTAAAAACCAGATCAGTCATTAAACATGTGAGGGTACTGGGTCACTGGTCGAACCACATGACTAAACCAGATTAAACTGGATAACTCGGGTTGAATAGACCTGTCATTATAACAAAACTATATAGGTATAAAATTGGTTAAACCAGATCATTCAGTCTCTAAAAAAATATAACTAGCATTTAATTTTTTTTTGAAAATATCATCTCCTAAATTCACAAGTTCATAATTTAAATTCAAATTTTAAACACAGGTATCATACAATAAAATAGTACAAAATTTAAAAGTCTAATTGCAAATAAAGTCTAATTGCAACATAATCTAATTGAATAGCTTATAACAAAATAACTCCAATGTCTACTAATTTTAGTTTCAAGGAAGTAAAATCATTTCAATGTTGGGATCTCCTTCTTCAGTATCAACTTTAAACAAGACACCCCATAGCCCGGTAGAGATATCCCATCGTCGGTTTATTTTCATGAACTTTAAACAAGATACCTAAAAAGTCTACTCATAAAATAAAACAACAACCATGAATTCATCATGAATTGATAATTTAAACTAGGGTTAAATGCCTTCTACCCCTGTAATAGTAGTGAGATTTGATTTACCCTCTTTTAAAAAAAATTATTTTCGCCCCTGTGGCTTTTTTTAATATTTTATTTAATTATATAAAATATTTGCATTGTTAAAAAATATTCATCAAGTGAGTTTTGATCCATACAACCTCTACTTGCAAGTCCTGCACTCAACCACTACACTAATTGTTTCAATTTGTATGTTACTCGCTTTGAATGTTACTTTAATTGTATAATATTATTTTAAATGAATAATTATACAATATTTTTATTAACAGTATTTAATGATATATTACATTATTACATTATTATATATAAAAAATGTTAAAAACTATATATTACATTATTCTAAATGAATTATTATATAAAAACTGTATAATAATTTTAAACGATATATAACAAATATTTAAAATGTATAATATATTGGAAATATATCATTAACCAACAAATATATTTGAAATGTATATCAAATATTTATATCATTATTTCAAATAATTATATAACAAACGTATAATTATTTTAAATGATAAAAAACTATATATATATAACTTATTTATATATATAATTACATATTTATAACTATAACTTAAAAATATATTTATAACTATAAAATATATAATTATATATTTTTATAAATATAACTTAAATATTTTTGGTATATAAATGTTTGATATATATAACTTAAATAAATATTATTAAATACTGTTAATAAAAATACTATATAATTATTCATATAAAATACTGTTATATAATTAAAGTAGCCTTCAAAACGAGTAATGTATAAATTGAAACAATTAGTGCATTAGTTGAGTGAAAGGACCGCAAGTAAATGGTGCAGGGTTTGAAATCCATCTGATGCATATTTTTTAAAATAGCAAAGATTTTATACAGTTAAATAAAAAATTAAAAAATATTTATAAAAAAAGCCACGATGGCATACATGACCCAGTCAAATGAAATCTTGGATTAAAAAATTTTTGATTATGGAATCTATATTATGGAATCAAATCTCGCTACAAGGCATTTAACCCTTTAAACTAAAGCCGCAAATCAGATTCATCATAATTTAAAATGCATCATGTTGTTGTTTTAAACTACATTTTATAATTTCTACATGAAAAATTAGAAACTACTCTATAATTTCTTTAAGAAACTACTCTATAGAGCTTACTAATCAAAACCCAACCAACTGATTTAAAAGGGTCCAAAATCAAAACAAAACATTTTCAAAAGACAAGAATTGATATACACTTTTACAAGTCCATGCATATAAATTTATTTCAAATGTTTATATATACGACACACAGTGATCTGATGATGAAAGACACAATAAACCAATCACAATTTATTTGTCTATAATTGCAACAAAGAATCAATACAACCAAATATAGCATATCAATTTTCAAAAGAACAACACAACTAAATATTGAAAGTTAGAAACGAGTTATAGAATAAGCAATTTCAAAGGAATAACATAACCAAATATTGAATCAATCCCAATTGTTCCCTGGTTACAAATACAATATATAGAAATGATACATCATACCTAACCAATTTTAAAAGAACAACACAAGAAAATATTGAAAGTTTGATCACATACCCTAATCTTTAACTAACCCTAATTTAATCTTCAACAATTTAATCCCAACAGTTTAATCTTCAACAATTTCAACAGAACAGAGATAAATGGAAATAGAGGTGAAGAGTATTGAATCTGGAAGACGCTGAAACCAAAATCAGAATGTAGAGGACAAACTTGGGATTGGTGGTGTGGAGGAGAGAACGACGGGGGTGCGACGGGGAGAACGGCAGCGACACATTGGTGGGGGATGAAACGAAACGGTCGGTGGTTATATTGTCAATAATACATGGTCTTTGCATCAGAATCATCTCTTAGATTTTCCTGACATGATAAACATTATTGCTAAGTGAACCATTCCTCTTGAAGCCACAAATGATACCAGAATATGGAAGCACACTGAGAATGGAGTCATGACATTGAAGCAGTCCTATCGTTTTTGTCAAAGTCATAGTAACAATGTCCATCGGAGTAATATGACTTGGCACAACTCTATACCATCTTCAAAAACTCTCATCCTTTGGAGAATTTTACACAATTCCATACCAACTAATGAAAATATGAACAAGAGATGCATCACCTTCCCATCTCAATGCACTATGTGTCACAATCAAGAAGAAACCATTCCTCATCTCTTCTTCAATTATAGCTTTGCCTCCAAAATTTGGAACTGGATCTCTAGCAGCCTCAACATTCATTTTTCCATTTCCAACATTGTTGATTGTTGGAAATTCATTGATAAAGGATGGTATTTGCATTGCAAAGTAGTGATCATGGTTGGAATCTAATTTGTTTTTGCTGAAATCTGGCTTGCAATGAGCAAATCCAGATTTGATGGAATTGCTACTTATTGGAAAATTTGCATCATTAACATGGCTAGTTTTGTGAGATTGATGGGTAGTAATTCTAGTATCAAAAGTGCAATAAACATTGTTGATTTCTCTATCCTCAAGAATCTCAATATAAATATAATACCTCCTAAGATAAAACGAAACATTGATGTTCTTTCGCACTCTCCTCCTCCTCTTGGTTGGATCAAAGGAAATACATATGAGGTGGCTAAGGGAACTCCCTCTCTTTGTGCTCGAGGTGCTATGTTCAGGAGTGCTAATGGTGATCAAGTAGGCTTCTTTTCCTTCTTCATCGGGGGAAGGTAATTCTTTACAAGTTGAATTCATGGGAGTGATTATGGCATTCAAAGTGGAAATTGACTAGAATTTGGACAACATTTGGATTGAGTTAGATTCAATAACTGTGGTTAGAGCGCTCCATAATACAAACCTTGTCCATTGGTTTATCAAAAGCGGTTGGTTGAACTGCCTGCATTATCAAAAGCGGTTGGTTGAACTGCCTGCATAATTTGAGGAATCTTGGTCTTTTGATAACTCATATTTTTTGGGAAGGTAACACTTGTGCTGATAATCTTTCTAGCTTAGGTTTAAAGAATATATATGCTATTTGTTATAATCATGTAGTTAGAGAAGCTTGAGAATATTTCTGGAACAACAAGCTTGGATTTCTCAAGCTTAAGTTGATGTCTGTTTGAGAGGTTTTGGTTTTGGTCTCCTTTCTTTCTTTGTTTTCTTTTTCCATCTTTTATGATATTTTAAGTTAAAAAAATAATTTAATAATTTATCATGACAAAAAAAATAAGTTAATTGATTAATAAGATTTTTCTTTTAAAAAGAAAAGACAAGTTAATATGCATATTGAAAATTTTGACAAAAGTTATTATTATCAACATTAAAGGTTTATTCGTTTAATCACGGTGAGACAGAGCACTAGAGGTTTTACTGTGGGACATGTAGTTCTCAAAGCTGATTCAAATAAAGGTCCAAGCATGAGAAAATATGTTCCGACAATCAACATACTTTTATACCATTTGCCTTTAATACTTTTGATTTTCTAACATCAGAAGTGATGGATCTTTTACAGAGAGTGTAAAGGTTCATGCATAACTATGTTGTCACCTAAGACTATGAATGTTATTTTTAAAAAGATTAATTTTACCATCTAAAAAAGAATAGCAATATAATTTATTGTCCGTTTGTCTGTTATTTATGTATAAACTTTCAATAATTAAACAAAGAGTTATTAAAATAAAATTTTAATTCATTTTTTATGTATTAAAAAATTAATTTTTAAATCATATAAGGAAAGTATATATTATTGAAGATTAAAATATAGTTGAAATTATAGTTTTTCGAAAAAGATATATTTTTAAATTTTTTTTATAAAAATATTTGAAATAGTATTTTATAATAATGATATAAATTAATTTTTCATTTAAAATATTTTTTAAACAAAAATGTATAACATAATAAAAATAATTCTAATAAAAAAGCTGCATCAAACAAAACTTAACTAAAAAGGAGGAATTTATTCAGGAACAAATGGAATTCTTTGTACTTCATAAGCAACTAATTAGAAAAAATTGAATAAAAATTTCAACCTCTAAAATTCTTATATAAAGTCTTCTTAAATAATAATAAAAAAAGAGGAAATTCACAATATATTTTCCTGAAATGTAGGGTAGAGAAAAGAAAGAGATGGCAACACAGAAAAAAAGAAGAAAGGGTCGATGCTGAGTTGTATAAGCAGGCGGCGCGTAAACACACGGCACCACAGGAACGGGTGGAAATCCAAATGCTATCAGGTATGTGACTTCCAATTGCAATTTTATTTTATTTTATTAAATAAATAAGTAATAAAATAAAAACAATATTTCAACTGTGTATTGGTTTTTTTCTTCTTTCAAATGAAATATTTTGAAATATACATTTAAAAATGAGTTAAAAGGTAAGATAAAACGAAACATTGATGTTCTTTCGCACCCTCCTCCTCCTCTTGGTTGGATAAAAGGAAATACATATGAGGTGGCTAAGGGAACTCCCTCTCTTTGTCCTCGCGGTGTTATGTTCAGGAGTGCTAATGGTGATCAAGTAGGCTTCTTTTCCTTCTTCATTGCGGGAAGGTAATGCTTTACAAGTTGAATTCATGGGAGTGACTATGGCATTCGGAGTGGCCATTGACAAGAATTTGGACAACATTTGAATTGAGTTAGATTCAATAATTGGGGTTAGAGCACTACGCAATACAAACCTTGTCCATTGGTTTATCAAAAGCCGTTGGTTGAACTACCTGCATAATTTGAGGAATCTTGGTCTTTTGATAACTCATATTTTTTGGGAAGGTAACACTTGTGCTGATAATCTTTCTAGCTTAGGTTTAAAGAATATATATGCTATTTGGTATAATCATGTAGTTAGAGAAGCTTGACAAGATTTCTTGAACAACAAGCTTGGATTTCTCAAGCTTAAGTTGATGTCTGTTTGAGAGGTTTTGGTTTTGGTCTCCTTTCTTTCTTTGTTTTCTTTTTCCTTCTTTAATGATATTTTAAGTTAAAAAAATAATTAAATAATTTATCATGACAAAAAAATAAGTTAATTAATTAATAAGATTTTTAATTTAAAAACAAAAGACAAGTTAATATTCATATTGAAAATTTTGACAAAAGTCATTATTATCAACATTTAAGGTTTATTTGTTTCATCACTGGTGAGACAGAACACTAGACGTTTTACTGTGGGACATGCAGTTCTCAAAGCTGATTCAAATAAAATGGCCAAGCATGAGAAAATTTATTCCGACAATAAACATATTTTTATTCCATTTGCCTTTAATATTTTTTATTTTCTAACACGAGAAGTGATGGATCTTTTACAGAGAGTGTAAAGGTTCATGCATAACTATGTTGTGTCACCTAAGACTATGAATGTTATTTTTAAAAAGATTAATTTTACCATCTAAAAAAGAATAGCGATATTATTTATTGTCCGTTTGTCTATTATTTATGTATAAACTTCCAATAATTAAACAAAGAGTTATTAAAATAAAATTTTAATTCATTTTTTATGTATTAAAAAATTAATTTTTAAATCATAAAAGGAAAGTATATATTATTGAAGATTCAAATATAGTTGAAATTATAGTTTTTCGAAAAAGATATATTTTTAAATTTTTTTTATAAAAATATTTGAAATATTATTTTATAATAATGATATAAATTAATATTTTATTTAAAATATTTTTTAAACAAAAATGTATAACATAATAAAAAAATTCTAACCAAAAAGGTGCATCAAACAAAACTTAACTAAAAAGGAGGAATTTATTCAGGAACAAATGGAATTCTTTGTACTTCATAAGCAACTAATTAGAAAAAATTGAATAAAAATTTCAACATTTAAAATTCTTATATAAAGTCTTCTTAAATAATAATTAAAAAAAAGAAGAGGAAATTCACAATATATTATCCTGAAATGTAGGGTAGAGAAAAGAAAGATATGGCAAAACGGAAAAAAAGAAGAAAGGGTCGATGCTGAGTTGTATAAGCAGGCGGCGCGTGAACACACGGCACCACAGGAACGGGTGGAAACCCAATTGCTACCAGGTATGTGACTTCCAATTTTATTTTATTTTATTTTATTAAATAAATAAGTAATAATATAAAAACAATATTTCAACCGTGTATTGGTTTTTTTCTTCTTTCAAATGAAATATTTTGAAATATACATTTAAAAATGAGTTAAAAGGCAAGATAAAACGAAACATTGATGTTCTTTCGCACCCTCCTCGTCCTCCTGCTTGGATCAAAGGAAATACATATGAGGTGGCTAAGGGAACTCCCTCTCTTTGTGCTCGCGGTGCTATGTTCAGGAGTGTTAATGGTGATCAAGTAGGCTTCTTTTCCTTCTTCATTGGGGGAAGGTAATGCTTTACAAGTTGAATTCATTGGAGTGATGATGGCATTCGAAGTGGCAATTGACAAGAATTTGGACAACATTTGGATTGAGTTAGATTCAATAACTGTGGTTAGAGCGCTACACAATACAAACCTTGTTCATTGGTTTATCAAAAGCCGTTGGTTGAACTGCCTGCATAATTTGAGGAATCTTAGTCTTTTGATAACTCATCTTTTTTGGGAAGGTAACACTTGTGCTGATAATCTTTTCTAGCTTAGGTTTAAAGAATATATATGCTATTTGTTATAATCATGTAGTTAGAGAAGCTTGAGAAGATTTCTTGAACAACAAGCTTGGATTTCTCAAGCTTAAGTTGATGTCTATTTGAAAGGTTTTGGTTTTGGTCTCCTTTCTTTGTTTTATTTTTCCTTCTTTAATGATATTTTAAGTTAAAAAAATAATTTAATAATTTATCATGACAAAAAAATAAGTTAATTGATTAATAAGATTTTTCTTTTGAAAAGAAAAGACAACTTAATATGCATATTGAAAATTTTGACAAAAGTTATTATTATCAACATTAAAGGTTTATTTGTTTCATCACTGGTGAGACAGAGCGCTGGAGGTTTTACTGTGGGACATGCAGTTCTCAAAGCTGATTCAAATAAAATGGCCAAGCATAAGAAAATATATTCCGACAATCAACATACTTTTATACCATTTGCCTTTAATACTTTTGATTTTCTAACACCAGAAGTGATGGATCTTTTACAGAGAGTGTAAAGGTTCATGCATAACTATGTTGTGTCACCTAAGACTATGAATGTTATTTTTGAAAAGATTAATTTTACCATCTAAAAAAGAATAGCGATATAATTTTTTTTTTCCGTTTGCCTGTTATTTATTTATAAACGTTCAATAATTAAACAAAGAGTTATTAAAATAAAATTTTAATTCATTTTTTATGTATTAAAAAATTAATTTTTAAATCATATAACGAAAGTATATATTATTGAAGATTAAAATATAGTTGAAATTACAGTTTTGAGAAAAAGATATATTTTTAATTTTTTTTTATAAAAATATTTGAAATAGTATTTTATAATAATGATATAAATTAATATTTTATTTAAAATATTTTTTAAACAAAAATGTATAACATAAAAAAAATTCTAAAATAAAAGGTGCATCAAACAAAACTTAACTAAAAAGGAGGAATTTATTCAGGAACAAATGGAATTCTTTGTACTTCATAAGCAACTAATTAGAAAAAAATTGAATAAAAATTTCAACATTTAAAATTCTTATATAAAGTCTTCTTAAATAATAATAAATAAAAAGAGGAAATTCACAATATATTTTCCTGAAATGTAGGGTAGAGAAAAGAAAGAGATGACAACACAGAAAAAAAGAAGAAAGGGTCGATGCTGAGTTGTATAAGCAGGCGACGCGTGAACACACCGCACCACAGGAACGGGTGGAAACCCAAATGCTACCAGGCATGTGACTTCCAATTGCAATTTTATTTTATTTTATTAAATAAATAAATAATAATATAAAAACAATATTTTAACCGTGTAT